TAAGAAGGCGTCACGAGAAGGAGAATCACTGTAGGACTTTTTTTTTTTTTCCTGCACCAGTTCACCACAGATGCAGCGTACATCATGCTTGTAATAGTTCTTAAAGAATCGTTTTAAAAGAACCATCGTTTAGCCAAAAGGCAACGAGCTTAGCGAACATCTGCAACTACACACTCTACCCCATCGAGAATGGGGTGGAGCTACAGCTCACCGGTGCTCTTACTTCATGATGATGATTTTGCACTATACTGCACAGTTTGCCAGAAAAGGTCCGTGGTGTTTGGCAGGTAAATGGTGCTCCAGCTCATCCGACCGCCGCTTGATTTCCAAGAGCTCGAGAGTCCAAGAAGGAAGACAATATGGCGTAGAGGGAAGAGGAAAAATAGATATGTATCCACAACAGGGGTGGTAAACTAACAAGACACAGGCTGAATACATTAGGGGAGGATCGGGTTATCACAAAGGCAGGAAACACAAAGAACAGTAGGCAATCATAGGGGAGGGTAACACAGGGGCGGGTTTAGATGAACATAGGGACAAAAGCATGGGAGGACAGAAAGTCGATGACCTGTGGAGATACTGGAGAAGTGAGGCAAAAAAATAATATTGGAACAAGAAGTAGAAAAGACGGAACAAGAGAAATAAATTCGCCGACCGGACTTGTTGTGATAGTTTTATGTCTGCTAAAACTATATAAATAAAGACACTGGGAGAGAAAAAAAAACTGCTGACACTGAAGCTTATAACCAGAGGCACTGGTCATAATGAGAGTGGTTTTAGGACATTACTAGTGTTTTTTTTTTTTTGTTTTTTTTAAATGTCAAACTGATATTGTTCTTGGCATCGGTTATTATGCAGACCTGTGTTTAAAAGCAATAATAGAGCGCTATTTAAAAAAATAATAATGGCAACAAAAAAAAAAAAATGAAAAAAAAATGTTGTACTAGTGACATAAGGGACAGGACTGTTGGCCTTAATCCCTCGATCAGCCACTCCCCTTTACCAATTTTTATTCATAAGCGTTTGGCTCTGAGAAAGACATCAAACCAATAATACAACCAGAGGTCAACACCGTCTTTGCACCGACGTTAACCTCTGCATTGAAGCAGCTAATGCACACTTCCTCCGTCTCGCTTGTGTGGGGGCTGACAAATGCAAAGTAAAAAAAAGAAGCAGGCTTTGGCAGCGGTGACTATGCGTTTGTGTGTGTGTGTGTGTGTGTCTACACATGCTTGTGTGTGGCTCCTTGCGCCTCTAGTCCTTGTGTCAGCCAGACCCAGGGCCCTCCACATGGGGTTTGTATTGATAGTTTTGTGAAAGGAGGGGGGAATGTGAATGTTGTCGGAACTCATTGGAATGACAATAAGGGCATATGGTTGTGTGTGTGTGCGGTGTATGGTCGTGGCAGTCACCATATTCTTCTATGCAGGGATGCCAGGTGCTTCATGAACAAACCCACTGAGAGTCAGCAAATCATGCACAAGTGCAACAGACAGAGGCTCGTGGCCATCCTGCTTCGTGGAGGGCTGCGGGAATATCTATATCTGCGGCGTTTCTATGCTTTGCAGGCAAAACAAGGGGATCTTTGTGTTCACTTCTCGCTAGCAAAATTCGATTCCTTTCACAAAATACTTTTCTCTCCGTCCCGATCACTGTCCAGTGCGGTCTACAGACCACAAACCAAACCGAACGACGAATCCGCAGCAGCATGTGCTGCAGGCCTGACTTGACAGACGCCAGCCTTTTAAGAGGACCATTGCGGGGTAATTGAAAGACAGAAGCCTTGTCTTATAGTCACACCATGTGTCCGTGTGTTGGGGAGGGGGGGGGTGAGAGACAGAGAAAGACTAAGAGGATGTGTAGAATAAAAAAAGAAGGAGGACAGAGTGGGAAATAATTGACATGAGATGAAGCAATTGATTAGAGAAAAGCCAAATACAAAAAAAATATTCAGCTTTTTTTTTTTTTTTTTTTTTTCTCACAGCAAAAACAGCTGACCTTTCAGCATTTCTGCTAATACTGCCACACACTGGCAAATCCCAAGTGGCCACTGAATTAACACAACACAAAAGCATTTCATGTAATTAGCTAAGCCCTGTGATCTTATCCTACCTTTAGGCACATTGTTTTAATTATTATATTGTAAATTATATAAGCTTTGGCCTTTGGGTCAACCGATAAACTGAAACCCTGAGTTAAAACACGTGATTTTCTTTAGTAGATTATCCCATAATCACAGAAAGCGTTTATTGTCATTGTACAAAATTGCAGTTATTATTGTTGTTGGATTGTATTCATATTTTTTTATATAATATGAATCAGTAGAAACAGCAGCAGATTTATATTTGACCTTTTTATTTTGTTTTGATTGTTCCGGCGATCTTTAAAAAAAAAAAAAAAAAAGATACTGCGCTGTTCATGAATTACACATTGCCCACCCTCCTCACCCCAAGAGAGAAAAAAAAGTAGAAGAATCCTTTAACGTCACTGCTCACTGCGTTTCTTTGTGTGGTGTCTATACAGCGAAATGAAGAGATCACTCCGTGGAGGTGTTTAGCTTGTAACTTTGAACGAGAATAAAGGATAATAACAAATCACTGAGGAAAACCCAGTCACGTGTGTCCGGCTCCGGCGCTCGCGCACGCTTGTTTTGGTTTTTTTTTTGTTTTGGATTTTTTTTTTTTTTTTTTTTTTTTTTTAAGGATCGCGTATGTTCAGCCGTGTCTACATAACGAATACAGGCCCCAAACCACATCAGTATGATGAGGGTGAATAGAGCCAGTCTGTCACAGACTGAGTGTGGAAATAATGAGTGTTCTAGCCAATAAATACATCTGATCACATTCAATTTTACTAGTAGTAAGGGGGACCAAACATTTAAATTATCATAGCCCTCCGGCATTAAAAAAAAAAAAAAAAAAAAAGTCCGATTGTTCCACTAGCCCACCTCTGCAGCTTTCTTTAAGTGGGGACTTTATCTGCATTAGGCGTTCCCCACTATGTGCTTCTTATGTTTCTTTGCAGACTCTGCAGCTGTTTTTTTCCTCCCCTTCTTGGGTCTTAACTCGTGATTTGTAATTTATTGGGTGGGGGAGAGCTCGCCCCCCCCCCCCCGCCTTCGTCAGTTATGTTTTTGGAGGATTAAAAGAAATCGCTGAAACAATTGCGTTTTAGAATTATGGGGTTCTTTAACTAAACATTTACCTCCTTTTGGCGAGAAAATCCATTTAAAGGAGTATAGCCAGGTTGCTGTATATTTCATCAGTTAGCAACTACTATCTTTACGATAGTTTTTTTTTTCTTTTATGAGTCTTTTATTATCTTCTAGCCGAGTAACGTATGGAAAATGTGTGAATTTGTCTTGAAGGGTGTTTTTTTTTTTAAATAGTGACTACGCTTTAACTTTATAATCTAATTGCGATTTCCACCAAAAAAATTTTGATCCAACAACTTCAATCTAAGCAAATTTGGTCGTTTCTATTTATGAAAAAAAAAAATCGGGGGTGTCTAATCCAATAACAGTAACCACCGCGGAATGGTGTTGTTACCTCTAGAGAAACCTGTATCCGGAAGTGATTCATAGACTGTATTATTTCTAATATTAACAGAGTTCCCAATCACACCCAATTACTCGGCTTGCTCTAACAGTAACCTTTTAAAGTTAGCCAAAATACTATGGCGTACTGGTCGTCGCTAACGACATTAACGTGTAATTAACCGGTTTCAATTATGACTTGCATTTTGAAGAAAACCCCTCCTTCCTATATGTCAAATATTATTTTTTATTATTTCATCCTTGTTTGTCCTTTACATTCTTCCCAAAAAAATACGTCAGTGGTGTAAAAAGATAATAACAACAACGGGCAAATAAAACGAATTATTATCTGAACGTAGCTGCAGCGATGCTTTTAGTGAAACGTGTCGTAATGAAAGCAGAACTAGTTTAACCCGTAAGAAAAAGACAAATCCACAATGATGAACACAAATCGGCCCACGTGCAGCACGGCGATAATGTTGCTGCTCTTGTGCACTGCACTATGAGGCAGAAAAGCCAGGCCATCGGGGATTTGTCAGAGGCCTGTTATTACATCTCCAGACACATAAAATATGGCTGCCAGAGATTCAACCGCCAGATAAATCCACTCTCCTCCAACAAGACTGATTTTTGCTATACGAAACCAGCCAATGGTGGACTTGATCCAGTCTGGTAATGATATCTGATTTATAAAGTGTACTTTTTAAGCCAAAGATCAGAGCCAGACGACCCCCTACACCCCCCGCCCTTGCCCCTCCCCACTTCCCCTCTGTCTATAACTAGTGTCAAGTGTAATAATAGACAGGCCTATAGGAGACAGGAGAAGTAACACCCATCTTTTGAGGTCTCACAAAACCTCCACCATGTGGGCAATTTCCCCAGTACAACACTATCGCATGTTTAAGCCATCAGCGAGTTCTGCATTGCGTGAGGTCACGAACGCGTATTGCAGTTAGTGGTGCTACTCTAAACCAACCGCTAAGGAGGCCTAAATCATCACCTCTTTAGAAAAACAAATACATATTTCTTATTTTATACATTTGGATTTAAAAACATATTTAAATTTAAAAATATATAATTTACTGTTTTTTTTATTATTATTATTATTATTATAGAACTTGGTGTATAATTTCAACCATAATAATATGAATATGTAGTCTCCCCCTGAAAGGGAAAACAACAAAGTCAAATCGCCACCGTTTCATGTAGGATTAAATTCTGCAGCCAAGAAAAGCAGGTAATGTCATTAAACATGGCCGGCCCGCTGCAGACTCTTTCTGTCACAGAGATTATTCTATAAATATATAAATATATTTCGTTCATTTTAAAAAAAAATATATATATATAAATACATTTAATACATACAGACATTGCTATAAGAACAATAGCACTAGCAACACATTTATCATTATAGTATTGTTATTATGATCGTTATTGTTGTTGTTATTGTTTGTTGTTGTTCAAATCTATTTATAAAAATAGATATATTTAAATTCATTTAAACGGATTATTTTTGACAGCATGACACCTTGGTGACAGAGGTTACGAAAAGAATTTCAAATCATTTAACCGGTGCCAATTCTTGCCGAGTCTCCTCTTGAAATCAGATACAAACACACACTTTCACCTATATTATTGTTAGTTAGGACAGCTTAAATGTGTCTAATATTTCCTCCTGCTTCCACGACGACATTTGTCTCAAACCCTGTTTTACTCCTTTTCACCAACGTCTCTTTTTTCGTCTTCCTATTCTATATCCCATCTGTATATTTCCAAAAAAGAGTAACACATCATCTCATCACTAAGACATGAACGATTAAAAAAAAAATGTAACGTAATTTATTTTAACAAAATTTCACACGTCAAAACACAAATCGTAAATTTTGCAAATTCAAAGCATCAATTACAGGTTGTACAAAAAAAATATAAAATGAAAAGTATTTCCCTTTAAATGACTAAATCATTCTGAATAAAAAGACCTTTCTGTCTCGTACGACGCATTTCAAGTGTAAAAAAAAAAAATTTAAAATAATTAACAAAACCACGCCAGAATAAGCCAATCATATCAAACTTGGAGGACGCAGAACATTTTGAGAGGAGAATTTGTTGTTTTCTCGGATGATCTGGAAAAACAAGCATTTCAAGAGTTACGTCCTGGACTTGGCGATGCTCAGATGGACACGTGCTGCTTCTCTCCCTCCCCACGGAAAAAAAAAAAAAAGAAATCAGAACTGATATAAGCCAGGACTACAATACCTTTCCAAAACAAGATACCGTCCACAGTTTAGGGTCGAGGAAAATGATTAGTCTGACTATGGCTACAAAATGGAAAAACAAGCTCTGGCTTTTCTTTTATACAGCATCCGGATAATCCAGCCACTTTAGAGCTAAGGATCAGGGGGGGCCCTGCTGTTTTATCTGAAACTGAACATTTTAAACGTGAAAACGCTCATCAAAAGCTTTAGTTCATCACTCCCTCATGATTTCTCACTTCATGATCCTCATTTATTCTACACTCCTAGTCCTCTTTCTAGCCACACGACTAAATTATACCAAAGATGATAAGGCACAATATTTCTGCGGAGCTCCTCCTCCTCACAGCCACGCGTCGTAATTAATGGGACACCCCCCAGTCGCAAAAAAAGCCTTGCACTGAAGTGCAACATAGTCAAAAGGTGAAAGAGAAGAGGGCGAAAGTGCCACTGGAGATAATTGATTACCTACCAATCGACAATAACGCATTAGTAATCTTCACCTCTGTGTTCCTCGCCATTTTCAGGCAGGCACCGCACACCTGCAGAGCCGCTTTTCCCGTGGATCGACACCTTGGAATAATTGTTTCTTTTCTTCATCCACGCCTCTGTATCTTTGTTTCGTGTTTTTTTTCTTCCCCCCGCATCTCAAATGTTGTGTGACTCACTGCGTCATCGCATTTTTTATCGCTGAATAATTCCACCGTAATTCCGTGTAAACTTCGGCGTAAACACGAACGATGACTTCCAAAGAAGTGGCCAAATGTGATGCAGTGGACAACAGGAGGCGAAGTCCGCTGGACCACTTGCCGCCTCCCGCGAACTCCAATAAGCCTCTCACCCCTTTCAGCATCGAGGATATTCTGAACAAACCGTCGGTGAAACGAAGTTACACAATTTGCGGAACGGCTCACCTAATTTCGTCCTCAGAGAAACACCGTCCGTCCAGCCTCCCTTTGTCCAGTCGGGCTCTACTCAACCAGACCTCTCCTCTGTGTGCGCTTGAGGAATTGGCCAGCAAAACGTTCAAGGGGCTGGAAGTCAGCGTTTTACAGGCTGCTGAAGGTAAATTTCATCAACTTAATAAAAAAAAAACAACAACTAATAAATACAGAATTTACATGCATATACACATAGTATGTGCAAGTGAGTATCACAGGTTAAAATGGCCTTTGGGAAAGTCAGAAACTATTAAACATAGTCAATATTAAATCCAAATAATAATAATAAAATATGTCGAATTTTATTGTTAATATTCTTTTTTCAATGTTATTAATCAAATAATCTAATGTAATGGTACGTTAATTATTAACTACCCAAATCAATACATGGTTTCTATTTAATATTCATCATTTCTCAATATATAATCAGTGTGCCATTTTTTTGCAGTTTTAGCTGCACTCTTTATTCATTCCATTTACCTCCTTCCTCTTACAGGCCGGGACGGAATGACCTTGTTCGGCCAGAGGACCACACCGAAGAAGCGTCGGAAGTCTCGGACAGCGTTCACAAATCACCAAATCTACGAGTTGGAGAAGCGCTTTCTCTACCAGAAGTATCTCTCCCCCGCTGACCGTGACCAGATTGCGCAGCAGCTTGGCCTAACAAATGCGCAAGTCATCACGTGGTTTCAGAACCGCAGGGCTAAACTAAAACGGGACCTGGAAGAAATGAAGGCCGACGTGGAGTCCGCCAAGGCCTTAGGCCAAGTACCCTTAGACAAGCTCGCCAAGCTGGCCGACTTAGAGAAATGTGCAAACGGTACGCTGGGCCACTCACGTACTCATTCGCCGGTGCCGGGCGTCCGGCAAGAGCACGAGCTCGCTCAGAAACTGCGGACTTCACCTACGTCTCCATTTTCTGACCACTCAACGAGTAAAGAGTGCTCGGAGGACGAGGATGTGGAGATTGACGTGGATGACTGATGAAAATGTTTAGGACTAAAAACAAAAAACAAAACAAAAAAACTACAAAAAAAACATAAAACACACACAAAAGACGATTAAATAAATAAAAAAAAAATACAAATGAGGACTTGTAACTTCTTGCTTTTACAGTAGGCCTATATCGCGTTTCAGAACATGTACCAAACCGAATGACATTTACAGTGGTACAGATAGACCTATCCATATCAAAAGCATGAACAAATGAAGAGATGAACAGTGTTAATTTACCATATATCCAGAGCAAAGGTTACTTCATGAAATCATAGCAATATGGTCTAATATGGCACGAGTAACTTGCTGTTTTTTTTTATTTGTTTGTTTGTTTGTTTGTTTGTTTGTTTTTACCATAGGTCACCTACATACGTGCACAAACGAAATGCTTCTGTTTCCCACGCTTTTGCATGTAAATGCATGATTTGATTTGTAACAACAATCTATTTATTTTACAACAACATAAAAGTTATATTATAATAACTTTTATTTCAAGCTATTGTGTTTCTTCACGTAGCCACTTCAGTTTCTAGTCACAACCAGCCTCTTTCCCCTGGTCGTTATTGTTCTCATCATTATCTCACGGCGTAATTCCGTGACAATGGGTCAAATTTAGCGTCACTTTTTTTTTTTCTTCCTCTCCCGGTACTGCATTGCAGAATGGTGACATTCACGAATTTGCGTTTTAGGTTGAACGTTTGCACTATGGCGAGAAACAATGGTTAACACTGCGGAAGATTTTGGTGTGTTATAGACTACGTTTTAGATGTATGGCTTGGACACAATTGATTTACAGTTTTTGTCTAAATTTTATGCCGTTTTTTTTTTTTTTTTTTTTTTTTTTTTTTTTTGTACACCTGTAAGTGCCTTTCTAAAGTCAGGACAGTATTTGAAAACTATACATAGTAATAAAAAAGTTTTATCTGAATATGTCTTTAATGTTTCTTAATTTCCTACAATTTTTTTTTTATATATATGTATATATAAAGCCTCTATTTTTACATAATTGCCACACGAAACGCAGAGAAGCACACTCGGATTGTTAAAGTTGAGCATCAAAAGCCGACCATTAACAGTTGTTTATATTGGACTATTCGGTCCCTTTTTTATTGTGAAGGGCTGAACACTTAATGGCCGGGGATCTTTCATCGCTTTTCACAGCTCAAAATGCGTATTGTGGCTTCTTGACCCTTAGAGGTGCTTCTTCATTCGTGACAAAAATTTATGTGAGAAACACAAATCTGGTGCCAGGGGAGAAAAATAGGAGGACGCTACAAAAATCACAACGTTTGAGCCAGTTTTTTCCCGGCCTTTATAGACCTTTTTGTTTCCGTGACTCGGCCGTAATTCTGAGCGTAAAGCATGAAAAGTAGGGACAAATAAGCAGCGTTCCCTGATGGGAAGGCCCACAAAGGATAAGGGCCAGTCCCCCGCAGGCAGCAATACTGAGACAAGTGTGTCCCACCGCACAAAAAGGACTGAAACGTTTGGAAGCCATATGGTTTTGGAAATTTCCTCACAATTTCAGACAATTTGATGGATTGAGTTAAACCTCCTTTTAAACAGTTTAACTGGGCGCGAACAATGGCCTTATAGACTCTCCCTTCATGTGGGCATCTGCGGCTGTTAATGTCTAGCCTCTTTCTTTGAGTGGCGTTTTGAACAAGTCAATGAATTTCAATGAAACTGCCCTTTTTGTGAGCCGCCTGTGTTTCGTCGCTTTTTAGCGGCGGAATAATCTGTTTGACTTTTGTCCAAGAACGTTTTTCTAAACAATATATTGAAACGATTAAGTGCATTCTTAATGTTAAGTATGAAACCACATGGAGCTAGGACCTTGACATTTATACCAAGCTCTGGTTAGGGAGGCCTTTTGTTTGTGTCTTTTAAATCGGGTTTTTTTTTTGGTTTTTTTGTCCTGCTGCCTCTTATTTTAAATAAAGATTCGGCAGAGGCTCAACACAAGATATATATATATATATACATATATATAGTATATATTTCAAGCGTACTGTTATGCCACGCCTGCGCTGTGTGCTTGTCTTCTGAGGGCTCTTTTAAATCAAGAATACATATAAAAGGAAGAGAATGTTAAGTCAGACTAAGTTTATTGATCCACTTGTTTATTTTATGAGGGCTTGTCAAGCAGGCCGGCGATAAGTAATGCTACAGTCTGAGGGACCACTTCGTGGTAATTAATCTCGAGGTCTTAAGTGTATTTCAGTATTTCAATTCAGGATGAAAAAAAAAAAAAAATCACTACTTCAATCGTGCGGAAAATTGAAGTTTGATGCATGAGTCCCTACTGCAACAGTAGTGCAGCTCTTTCTTTTTTACCCCTTCCCTCCGCCGTTTGTTTGTCTCTTTCCCCCTATTTTATGATTTGCACATGGTGTGGTCTCAGGTGCAAAGTGTATAAATATATTTTGTCATCAAGACGCTTATCGACCACCCTTCGGGTAATTTGCTTAATATTTTTAGCAAATGTCGCCTTATAGTAAATCCATACGCCTCGTACGGTACCTTCTATTTATTTTTATTAATAAATGGAATCATTTTCATTGAAAAGGGATTTTTTTTTTTTTTTGGTATGGCTTTATATTCGCCTGCAGTTAAATAACTCTATATGTCTAAAGAGAGCTGAATTGCAGAGTTTTAATCATAGCCTTCCTGGTGAGCCAGTTAATACTTCAAACTTCAATTTTACGGGCGATTGAACTAAGCGTGTTCCTGACAGAATTGATGTATGTATTAATTTCCTTTAACTGTTGATTAATTGGGCTGCGCTGAAAGTTCAAACGGAGTGGTTTATTCGCAAATTTGCATATTAATCAAATGCAAACTGTTCATTCGAATAATCTAGGTTATGCGATTTTTCTGCTGTTTTGTTTATTTTTAAACGGAGCTTAAAGTAATACCCTACATTTTAAATTGCTCTTGCATTGTTTTGTTGTTGTTGTTGTTGTTGTTTTATGCACGCTGCAGCACATTCACTCGGTTTTCGTCCATCACAAATCAGTTACGCCATTGCTTTATTTGTGTGTTATTGATAGATAAATATGAATTCCAAAACGTAAATAATACTTGTATCACGTACAAACAATGGATCAAGCGGAAGATGAGTGGTGTTTAAACAGACTGTCACAAGCGGGTAGAAATATGCAACGCTTAACTAATTTCAGTTTTATTATTTTAGACCATTGGTGAAATAGAAAAGGGGAAACAAACGGTCTTGCGTTTGTTTAAAACCATCGCTTCTGAGTGAGCATAAAGAAAAATAAGAACTACGCCAAAATAATAATAATTTAAAAAAGCAACAATGTTACACAATTACGACAGACCTGTATGTATAAAGTGAAAGGTTGATTGGTCAAATCTTCAGACTTTAGACTGAGGAAATGAAATGGAAAAACAAGAGGGAGAAGGTAATGGCGGAAGCTGTAATCGCGGACTCTCAACTGAGAGACAAACAGAGACACCTGCTGGACACTGCGCCTCACTTTGCCAAAGACATTCTTCTTACCCATGATATTTGTTTGTTTGTCTTCTCAAATTATACGTTTTACCTTATAGTTAAAGTCAATTAATTTTCTACCTCGTATGGTCAAGAATTATTAGGATAAAATGGAGCTAATCCCAGGGCGGGGTGTCTTGTCCTAATGCAATGTCATCAATTACCAAATACATTTCCAATTAAAAACAACAACGATGAGTGTTTAAAGTTAGCCCTTTTAGTTTGACCAGCCCAATCTGCAGAAATGTTGTTTTAACACTCTAATACGTTTGGATTTTTTTTTTCAATTAAGAACCATGTCATTTTTTAATTTTATTTTATGTAATGTATATGTCTTTTCTTTTGTTTTCACAACATATGCTGTGTGTCTTGTCTGACACAATTGGGGATAATGGAGTTGCGGAGAAAGTATAAAGTTGACTATTGTTCTTCTTTTGTCCGACATGTGATGAATGTGATTTTCATTTATGTGAATGAATTGGTCAGGACGGTGAAGAAGGGCAACTCTAAACAGGCGTAGAATTCCACGAGGAAGTGTATGAACGGTAAATCAACCAAGGTGATGGAAACAAAACATAAAAAATAACATATATGAATATGTTGAGGTCTGGTGTGGTGTTTCTCTCTCGTTTGGAGGATGACGTGATTTTGTTTGCCTTCTTCAGACTGTGCTCTTCAACTACAGCCTTCACTTTAAGCCAGGGGTGTCAAACTCAAATTCACAGTGGGCCAAAATGAATATTTATTGAAAAATTGATGGCAATTGTGCATGTTTTTTCTCTTTCTCTCCAGATACAGTATGTCATGTAGAAATTCTCCATATGAAAACAAACTTTAGTTTTGCGTAAACATTGAATCTGGAACAACCAAACCTTAATATTATAGACACATGAGAAATTTAATTTGAAATAAAATATGCATCAGTGGCTTTGCCGATATTCGATGTGTCAATATTGTCCAAACACTTCATTTACGATTCTGATATAAATTGATACCGATATAGCGGGGCAGTGGTGGAAGTTAAGTGTTGCCTGCACACAAGATGATGGGTTAAAACAGTGTTTCTCAATTTGTTTTTTGCCCCCCCCTAGGGGACTAGAATTGAAATATTAATAAGCGCCTGGTAATATTTATTTATTTATCTGTACATACCACTGTAGCTGGCACCGGAATTCTGCATACAATCCCCTGATTAGCAATACAGTGGGGCTTAGAGATATGAGCTACCCAAAATACGACAAGTGACATGTGTCCTCAGGGCATTGACATTAACTTTGACAGGTTTCATCAGAGTGTCTTGAGTTGAGTTACGGTTAAGTTGATCAGATTTTGAAATCACAGCAATTGCTGAATTTGGGACCTAATTTAAAGGGAAAAAAAAATAAATTCAATGTAGCTCTGTCTATCAACATTTGAACCAATTCATTCTATCAGAACATTTGCCAAAAAGTGAATTTCAGTCCATAGGCGAGGTAAAAAAGGAGGTTGTGACCTGCTCTCTCTCTCTCTTTCTATTATCTAAATCAAGTTCTCACCCCATATATTATATATATATAATTTTATTTAATTGCCTCAAAATCTTTTTTTATATATATAGTCACAGGCCAGATTTGGGAATTTGACCCCTGCTTTGGAACCATACACAGTATATCTTTTTCTCACATGATTATGTGGAAAACAAGTCACACAGAAGAAGTTCAAGAGGTAACCACCAACTGCTATTTCAGTTGATGCTCAGGGTAGCCTTTATTCCTCATATTTCCTCATATTTGTTTGCAATTGTCTTTGAAATTGGTAGGCAACTTAAACGTTTTGAAATGAGGGCGAGCACTGTAAAAGTAGACATTTTTATATATAAATTAAAAAACACATTTTTTTAAAATGTTTTTATTTGTTTGATCCTATGGATCGTAAAAGAAGACATTTCTATATATAAATTAAAAAACACAAAAAAACACATTTTTTTATGTTTTTTATGTTTTTATTTGTTTGATCCTATGGATTTCACAGATATTACCTGACATAACTAGGGACTTGAAACTTGAGATTTTTCTTAAGACTTCAAAGTTCAGATTTGAGACTTATTTCATATCTGAGCAGACCTACCAACCATGACAAATGGGAAATGGCAAGAAGGAGGGGAGGGGGCTACGTTACATGTTCGGCAGACTCGTCATTCTACGCTACTTTGTGATGATTGGTTGAAACTGCTTCACTAACACGCTACTGCAATGTGCTGTCAGACATGAGTATGGCATCGGCATATTTTTCACTCACAGATGTCAGCAGGTTTTTAACGTCGTTTCTAGAGGTCAAATTGTATACTTGCTATCCAAAATGTACAGGTTGGCAGGTCTATATGAGTCATCACTGGTGCCTCAGTGGTTAAGGGTGCGGACTTGGGTCCGGAAGGTTTCAGGTTGGAGTCCACCCGCTGCAAAGTTGCCGCTGAGGTGCTCTGAGCATGGCACCCGACACACTGCTGCCCGGGCGCTTAAAGCAGAGGTTGCATTTTGTTGTGTGCAGTGGTGTGCTGTGTCACAATGACAAATAATTCATTTCCACTCCTCTGATCAATTGTCTGAGCTTTACAGCTGTATGGAGCAGATTAGTTGCAGTACATGGCAAAAGGCGCAGGATCTAATTGGATGGATCTAGTTGCTGATATGCCAGCCAGAAATTGAAAGGAAAGGAAAGAACTGAAGCAAAGTCTGAGAAAACTGTACAGCTGTAGGAATGACTGTACCAAGTTTCGAAAGGGGTGTAGTGCCTTTACATAGACACCCTTACATTACATTGAGCAGAAAAGGAAAAGAAAAAAAAAAATAACATCAAACCAGTAATCCACTTAGAGGTGGCTGGACAATGGACCAATCGTGTCTACTAAGACTAATTTGGCAGGAACAAACACCTTTTGGTGGGGTAGGAGAGTGTACAGCAATTAGGATGGAGCAGCTTTCTTGTCTGGAAATCTGACCAGGTTTATCGGAAACACCGTTTTGGAACAAACTTTTCTTTTCAAAGAACATCTCCTATCCTAACAAACTCACTAACATCTAACATGCACCTCTTCTTACTCTATGACCTACTATCCTTATGACTTACTTATTACATATTCTTATGACATAATATTCGTCTTACTCTATGACCTACTATGACTATAACTTTACTTTTATTATTTATTACTATTTATTATTATTTATTATTTATATATTTTGTATGTTTTTAAACTAGCCAATAGTGCCGGTCCCATGCCCGGATAAATGGTGAGGGTTGCGTCAGGAAGGGCATCCGGTATAAAACCTCTAGCCAAATCAAATATGTGTATCGCAAAAAAAAAACGATTTCCATACCAGATCGTTTCGGGGCCCGGGTTAACAACGACCGTAAACAGTGCTGTTGACCTACAGGGTACTGGTAATAATTGGACTACTGTTGGTCGAAGACAACGAAGAAGAGGAGGGCGATTGATTCGGAGAAATAGAGATAAGAGGAAGGATAGAACTGTTGGTCTGAAGTTTGAATGTAGGTACAATTACAGGGAAAAGTAGAGAACTAGCTGATATGTTGGAGAGAAGAAGAGTAGACATTTTGTGTGTGCCGGAGACCAGGTGGAAGGGCAGCAAGGCTAGAAACATTGGAGGAGGCTACAAACTTTTATCATGGTTCGGATGGAAAGAGAAATGGAGTAGGGGTGATCCTAAAGGAAGAATATGCAAAAAATCTTGTGCAGGTGAAACGAGAGTCAGACAGGTTGATGTGTGAAGGTAGAAATAAAAGGAGTGATGATGAATGTTGTCAGCAGTTATGCCCCACAGGTGGGCTGTGAGTTAGAAGAAAAGGAGAAGTTCTGGAATGAGCTGGACTGGGTGATAGAGGGCATTCCCGGGGAGAGAGAGTGGTGATTGGAGCAGACTTTA